AATCAAAATGGCAGGGCAAAGACAGATCATGTTGTGTCCGACAAAATTGGTATAATTTAACTTAAGATAGGATAACTAGTTGAGTAAATAGCGACAATAACGCTAATTTCAATTATCTTTCATTGACGTTCAAAATTTCCGTGCTTGAGTAACCTTTCATCTCTTGAAAATTGCAAGACTACACAGTACGAGTAGCATTATTCGCTAATTTTTCTTCGATTCGCCTACTACCGGGCAGCAATTTGGCGGGGTAAAAACGCATAAGAAGGTGTATTTTACTGTCGAATACTGCCTGCTAGTCAAGTATTATGAACTAAATTAGAATATACGAATGTATCACTAATACACCAACTCAATAAGACGAGTTCATTAATTTAAATGAACAATAACAATTACTTTTATATTAGCAGTGGAGTACTGAAGCCGCCGTATATTAAAGAATAGACGAGTTTTTTTCAGCAGCGCCTTTCGACGATTTACACTTTATAGTACATGCGTCAAAAAGATCTTTACCATCAAGAATATTAAAGATAGAAATATTAAATATAAATCTACATGGTAATTAAGCGGATACCCATTTTCTTTGCTTAGTACTAAAGTAATGAGTGCCATAGTCACGAGATCAACGGCCAATGATTATGGGTACGCGTATTGTATCAGAACATAGACAAACAAATTACAGTAATGACCCCATAAAATTTTACCAAGTAGGACAATCTACATTTTTTTGATTTCGCTCAACGCGGACGCGGCGTAAAATAAAATTAACAGTACAGTAATGAAAATGCCGACAATCATACAATATCTATTGTGAAGTCTGCAGGTATTCTTTACTATGCCAACAATGTCATAAAGGATGAAAAATCTCTTCGTCCTACGAGGATACTTGTTGAATAAGCGATGCTGATATTCCGTAGTGCTAGTATTTTCGATTTGTTGTGAAGCAGATTAATTTATCAAGATGCTACGTTCATTGTGCTAATATGCTATTTTAAATTGGGGTAATCAAAATATCAAAATGTCGGGCTATCCAATTTTAAATTTTAGAGTAGAAATAGAATTCTCAAGTAATCCCATATAAACAGAGGAAAACAGTGCTGTAAGTTAATCACCATTATTCAATAGTTGACAGTACTGTACTGAAAATCAATTATATCTACGTATACAGTATTGTATGGCAACTATGAATTTTGCACTACTGTATCAAAAAATTCGCACCTATGGATACTCATCCAACGAGTTTTGTACAGTATGGAATTACCAGCGTACTTTAATTTTTTTAAAAATTACTGGTTTGGTTAGTCACTTACCAATAAGTATTGTCACCAACTTCATGATGAAAATCAACTGTATAACCAAATAATGAATTTGGCGGACCTTCTTTTACGTAAGGGTGTTTTACGTCGACGTTAAAGCATGATGATGATGTCGCCAACAACACAATCACTGGCAGCACAATCAATTTCATTTTTGGCGAGAAATTTACGACCACCGTTCGTCAATCCTTTACCAGAAATCAACGATTCTTTGACTCCTATACTACACAGTTTATCACACAGTATCGAATACCTGAATAATTTCCCTGATTGAATAGAAAATTGTACTGCTAATTTATTGATTCTATGGTTACTAATCGGTTATTGGGACCACCATGCGCTATCCGTTTTGACTTTTTCTGAAATTCTAAAAATTGCTGCAGTATAGCAAAGTACAAATAGGCGACACAGCCGATACTGTATCACTCCGCCTACTGTACAGTATGTATAGTGGTACAGCACAGTAGTCCTACTGTGCTATACTGTACAGTAGTTCTGTAAGTCGCAAAATGCACTCCGAAAGATTTGCATAGTCACCGCGCATCCTCATGCTTGATACTATTGTGGACTCATGGTACGACTGTACGGTCGATTAAAGTTCGTGTTGAACTATAAACATGACTATAAGCACACCTGTTCACAGATCAAATCGTAGTCTAACGACACAAGTTTTCAAGAGAAATGCATTTCCTGCAGTAAATTATGCAAATGCCCAACAAAAAAACCTTCACTTAAAATGTAATTGCTGTGATGCACTTTATTTCCATCCCAAATATTAGGAGTAAAAATGGGTATTACAGTATATCTGAAACCTGAATTTGGATGCTTATTTTCGTTTTTACAGTATACATTGTTCTACAGTCTGCAGATTGACTGGAGGTTGTTCAAATTGAAGCCAGGTACTGCCAAATATTAGGCAATATCCAGGGCGACCCAGTGCAAGTGTGGTACAGTACAAATGCACTTCGTAATTGACTAAGCACGAGTATACGTACTCCCGCTGCGCCATTAAACTGAAGTCATTTAGTTTACTAACGTACCGATTTTAATTAAAAGGGTGCTCTCACTAAAGCTTTATATTAAATACCTCAAAGCAAAGGGAAGCTTCTCAGAATACAATAATATTGAAGACGTTGATACTGTATTATGGGACTGTGAACCGGTTCAACACCAATGTCGACAGCACTTTCAAAGCAGACAACCGATCAAGACGACTCACGTCCAATGATCCACTTAGAGATTATGGCTTTACTCCTAGTACTCAATATAGATACTCTTTGTACAGTACAGAATAATATGTTTACATTCACTTTAAATATTCGATGCTGAATCATTTTTTATTTACTTACGGTATAGTAGTAATGGTGATAATATACAAAAAGCAATCCTACCATACAGTATTAGAATTATCTGACTTTTTATAGCATCAACTAGAAGAGCAACTATCATTCTTGTAAAAGCAAAATTGGTTGAATGTAAGAGATACACACTAATTATAAAATGGAGAAAAATATTCTTCAGAGTTAAGACTGGGCTAGGAAACCCTTTAAACTGTCACTCGCCGACCAAATGGGTGCTCTCTGGAGCCTATGGTTACCAGTTGCATCGGTTATATAATTATCACGTACTGCTTCGCTACTAAACTAGACGATTTCTTCCCCGGGTATTATAAAACCAACTATTCGCATCTTATCAGCGTGGCATGCATTTATTGTATGTTCATGAACATGTATTCTAGGCTTTCCCATATAGACGCGTATATCTATACACATGAACGTTATCGTGTTGCAGATACCCCAATTTATAAGATATCACCGTTATACAGTCTAACTACATATATGCGAACACATATATTTTATATTGTATATTTATGGATATATGTAACATAAATTTACATCGCAGCCAGAGAAATATTAATAATCGTAATAATGCAATAAACAATGCGATCGCATATGTACGATCTCAAATAACAGGATATACAAATAAAAAAGGTTGAACTTTTTTAACTCTTCCTGAAAGGTTTACGATATTTACATTGGATCCAAACGCGATACATCTTTAGCTGACGACCTCTATTGACTTGCAGTCTTCTGTCGACGTAATTTTGCTCCTTAACTAAATTCTCTTTACGAAACATTTCATCTAATTCTTCTGTAATCATAATCGTTGATGAAATCTTAAAGTCTGTTACAGCGATAGTGTAGCTGAGGCAATTTATCATCACAGGTAAAAATATAAGTATATTTCGCAAAAAATACATACACACCGTTACTACTAATAAAAGATTAAATATTGCAATAATAACATATACTCGAAAAGGTATGAATGTATCTTAAAAAGTATTAAATAAAATAAAATAAAACGGCAAAGAGTATGATACAAACCTTGAGAAAAAAAATATACCCTCGTTCCATCACCTCGTACATAAAAATTATCTTGCAAGAAGTGTCCTGCAGTCAATGTAACATCAAAGAATTGAGAGTAGATGTCTATATTTGAATGACTTCAAATGCATACTATAACGGTTAAGTATATTCCTCTCACTAAAAATCTTTCAAATAATTTTTATCTGATAACATAATCCACAACTGTTTTACTCAAATTCTCGATAATTCTATGATCATACCTTTCTTAAATCTCAACTGCGCTAAGTCATATCTACCATAGTCACGGAAGAGAAGTAAACCACCGGGCTTTAAATACTAGCAGTAAGTTGAATCATGAATTTTATAGAAGTTATTTTAATATGGGGCAATTCTTGTCATAGAATATTTAAATTATAGGTTACTATTGTGATCTTTTAATTTCTTGATATTATTTTAGGTATAATAGTCTGATCATACCTTACATATATTACGAATGGTAGCAGAAAATCTAATAATAAAAATAATTTATGCTTTATAGTAGCTGAAATCATGATCATAACTCACAATATTACTTATGCTAATTGACAACTAAATAAATGTGGAATGTAGTAATTTTGTAGGTTGCTTACTTGTTTGGATGTATTGCAGATAATACAAAAATCAAGATGACAACATCCAAAGACTCCTCTGGGAATGGATATTCTATTTGCTCATTTGTAATGTCGCCAACAAAAGCATAGCAACGGTCTTGAGAATAATTTTCATGTTCCTACAATTACAGTAGTTTGATAAAATATTTGGTTGGTTAGTATTAAAGAATCAATGAGTTAAGCAACGAAATAAATATGGGATAGTAACCACCTTAACCAGTTGGATAGCTAATTCAGATATGTCGCAGCAGTAAATAAATATTCCATCGTCGCTAAAATGTTTATAATATTATAATGAAGATATCTATTATAAGGACACCAATATATGAATAACATCTTAAAAAGTGAGCACAACGTTTACAAAACGAAACAGTCAGTATGGTACAGGAATGGTTATAAACTAGTATGATTAAAAGAAAAAGAGATAGTTTGAGTAAATCATAACTGGATGTAACTTATTTATAACTTCTTCCTTCAGAAATTTGTAATTATCTAGCAGTAAACATTGTATAGTACTAGTTACAAATACAAACTTTGGTAGTCAAGTAACATTTCAAGTTCGTAATGGTAATAAAAAATGAATAGCATACTTGTGTGTTTGTAAAATAGGATATACAGTATTCCCTACGCCGCATCCAACCTACATTTTAGATATCAAGGTATAATATAAGTTCTCGCTTGACCTATCATCATCCTCTAATTTAGGTTCATGGTACATACCTCAAAAATACGCTTAGAAGCTCTGCATCCAGGATATTCATTTTGTGGCTGCATAGTTTCGTCCATACCTTTGCTGACGTTTTTTTCAACGTCATCTAATTCTGGAAATTCAGTGAATAGCCAATGACGGTCCTTAAAGAATCTGTAACGGAATTGTAGCAATTTACTGTACAGCATTAGATAAGGCTGTAGTGTAATAATACCATGCATTAAAAAAATTAAGCCTATGACTACAGTATTATTAAAGGCTCAGTCTATGTAGCAAGTTAAGTAGAACTATTGTATCAACAAAATTAATTAAAAAAAATTCGCTGAAATGTCAATGCCTATCGTAATACTCGACAATGTGCTGCATACTGAATGAGTATATAATAACATCTTCTTACTGTAACTACGGTAGTACCAGATTAACGCAAAGAGTTAGTACATATATTGCAAACCTGTTTTGATGGATTTTGTAGAAATTATTCCAAAAGATATCACATTCATTCTCGTATTTCACTAACAGGATATTGGATTAGCCAGTCAGTCAGTTTTAAGTAAAAATACAACATAGTTGAATTAGAAACATTGCGTATATTCTTCATAACTGTACTAACAAAGTTTTGCTAAAGATAACTGTAAGATCCAAGTTATGCAGTTAGTCATTCATTCTTTATTTACTACTTGAAGTAATAAACTTAAATTCTAACTCGAAAGATGACATAAAGCCTAACTTTCTAAGTATCAACCTACAGATGTCACTTCAATAACTCAAACAGCTAGTATAGTATAGTATAGATAGTATAAGTTAGATTACCTATGTTGTTTAGAAATGTTTAATTAACTTGATAATAGCATTACTGATTGATTACTATATTTTATCTACTTTGCAAATCAGCAGAAACTTGCTCCTTTGAATTTTCTGATACCCGTCTTCTTCCTTCCTCTTCCATTTCATCACTCCAATCGACATTGTCCCTATGGCATAATAATAAATACTCGCATATAATAAAAAGTTAACGAACATTTATATTCTCTGATAAAACCCTTGATTAAACCGTTTATCACTGAGATAGCAGCCGAGGTTAGATATTAGTACTTTAGACCGTAATAAACTACAGTTAACAAATTTCTTCTAATCCTTATACACGTCGTTTAATGTGTTCTCACTTGCATGCTATCACGGCATATTATTGTATAGTATTTACTGTTAGTAGATCTATGCATTGTTACTGCAGGATGTATGCTGTGCCAGTAGGCTTAAAAGGTAAAGGTAAATTATTGGGATGTTGATTATCATTACAGTAATAGATAATAATAATAATGTGCACTCTGCAGTCATTGCATAACGTAGCTGTCGTAGCATACCATACTCACCATGCGTTATGCTCAAACACTTTGCTAGGATTCTCAAGAATACGATTGCCAAATCTTGGACGCCTATCAGTATCACTGTTATTTGAACTTGTAGCTTCCTTCTCTGCGAATACTTTGTCCTCCATGCTACTGAGTAGCGTTTACTAATAACGTATGGCTGAAATAGATCTTGAAATCTATGACACTGGTTAATATTAATTAATTATAATTATTGTTGCCTCATTCATTTTCCTATAGGCTCGGCTAGCTAACAAGTACTGTACTTTACTGTACTGTACAGTACAGTACAGTACAGCACAGGCCAGAGTGTACAGTACAGTACAGTACAGTACAGTACTGTACACTGTAGTGCAGTAGTGGACTGTACTGTACTGTACAGTACTGTATTCTGACAGTCCGCTGTCTAGCACTATCATCAGAGATTTGCAAGTGTCCGTCTGTCCTAATTGAGTTGTCCCTGCTAACAGTGTGATACAGTGCTTCTGTATGCTCATAGTCACGGTACTGGTTCAGTGGCTCTCCGAATGCTGTACAGTATAGCACAAAATAAAGATCAAGATTAGAGAGATTATAAGAATTATTATTATTATTAGACAAGAATAATGTTTTGTCTTCATCAAACTAGCATGAAAGTGAATCAGAATTCGTTTCTTGTTTATGGTTCAATATTTACAGTACAGGATTGTCAACAGATAGAGAGATGTGAATTCTCCTAATATTATCGCAAGCCCTAAAATAGGCCGCTTTTCGTGAATTTTCCTCTCTGATACACTAAAGTGTTGTGAATCACAGCTTGTGATCGGTGTTCAAATGAAATCAATCTTATCGATTTGAAGTTAGAGTTATTACAATCCTTAATGACCAGTCTAACTTTAAGACATTGCACAGTATACGTGTGGCACAGTCAAATTCTATTCTACGCTATTGCACGGCAATCAATGCACAATTGCACACTTGTCCAATGCAAAGAGTTGAGGAGCAGATGAATTCTATTTTCTAATTTCTACCTTTCTAAATTTCAAACGACGGTAAGGTTAACCATGGGCCACGAGATACTATACGTACAGTATACCATCCCTGTATGCAGAGATTTCTCCATGATAAAATTGGGCTCATTGACGAAGGATTATGTCAATGACGTCAGCCTACAGCTTCACCGTGCATAGAGTACGTTTACCATCCCTGTATTCAGGGGCTTCTCAAATTGGCCTCATTGACGAAGGATTGTGTCAATGACGTCAGCCTACAGCTTCACCGTGCATAGAGTACGTTTACCATCCCTGTATTCAGGGGCTTCTCTATGACAAATTGGCCCTAATTTACTAAGGATTATTTCAACACGTCAGCCTACAGCTTCACCGTGCATAGAGTACGTTTACCATTCCTGTATTCAGGGGCTTCTCTATGACAAATTGGCCTTAATTTACTAAGGATTATTTCAACGACGTCAGCCTACAGCTTCACCGTACATAGAGTACGTTTACCATCCCTATATTCAGGGGCTTCTCTATGACAAATTGGCTCTAATTTACTAAGGATTATTTCAACACGTCAGCCTCCAGCTTCACCGTGCATAGAGTACGTTTACCATCCCTGTATTCAGGGGCTTCTCAAATTGGCTTCATTGACGAAGGATTGTGTCAATGACGTCAGCCTACAGCTTCACCGTGCATAGAGTACGTTTACCATCACTGTATTCAGGGGCTTCTCTATGACAAATTGGCTCTAATTTACTAAGGATTATTTCAACACGTCAGCCTCCAGCTTCACCGTGCATAGAGTACGTTTACCATCCCTGTATTCAGGGGCTTCTCAAATTGGCTTCATTGACGAAGGATTGTGTCAATGACGTCAGCCTACAGCTTCACCGTGCATAGAGTACGTTTACCATCCCTGTATTCAGGGGCTTCTCAAATTGGCCTCTTTGACGAAGGATTGTGTCAATGACGTCAGCCTACAGCTTCACCGTGCATAGAGTACGTTTACCATCCCTGTATTCAGGGGCTTCTCTATGACAAATTGGCCCTAATTTACTAAGGATTATTTCAACACGTCAGCCCTGCACTTTCACGGTGCATAGAGTACAGTATGTTTACGTGTCATGTTTAGAATGAGCAGTTACTTAACCCTTGTGTACTCTGTTGGCTATTCAAACACTGTACAGAACAGTACTGTAGAGTGGAGACAGAGCACTGTATTAAATTGCAAATGTTTTACTTTCATTCCGGTAGTGAAGCTGGTTTACTGTGCCGTTCACTACTTTACCACACAGTGTACATCCAACTGTTTTAGGCTGCTTATGATCCGTTGTTAAGTTGAGCGCAAATTTGAATTTCAAATCCTTAGCGACAACTGCAAAACAAAAAACCGATTGGCCGTTGCCAAGCATTCCCGTCTAGTTACTTTGTTTACATCAACGTTGATTGGTTGTCTCTTATCAACCGATTGTTATATATAAGCACGTCGCCCGACATCGCCTCAGATTTTCTCTGTCTTCAGTGGATTAACCGTTACTTTGTCCTCTGATAGGCGATTTTCACCACTATCAACTCCTTTTTTTTTCCACTTTGATCGGTCTTAAAACTCTCTCAAATACTACAAAATGGTAAGCTAAAGTTACTCTAAATTGAATAATCATTAATCCAATGACTGTAAAATTCGTGGATTCTGGAGCTTCTACGGTTCTTCAATTCAGCGACTTAGTATAGTCAGTTTTACTTTCGTCAATGCTCTTCTTGATTGCCTAATTTCATATTTCAAAGTGAATTAGAATCTCATTTGTACATTACGATCAATTTTTCCATATGATGACTCCGATCTAATATTATTACTGGTTTTCAAAATATAGCGTGAATGTATCTCTATTCATGTTGGTCAAGCCGGTGTTCAGATCGGTAATGCCTGCTGGGAATTGTACTGCTTAGAACATGGTATCCAGCCTGATGGTCAAATGCCATCTGATAAAACTATCGGATATGGCGATGACTCTTTCAACACCTTTTTTAGCGAAACTGGCGCTGGCAAACACGTCCCACGTGCAGTTTTCGTTGATTTAGAACCTACCGTTGTTGGTAAGTCAAATACAAATTGCTATTACATGTATTTTACTTGCAGCAGTTTGATAAAGTATGATCTTAATTTCTAGATGAGGTTCGCACTGGTACGTACAGACAACTCTTCCACCCTGAACAGCTTATCAGTGGTAAAGAAGATGCTGCTAATAACTACGCTCGTGGCCATTACACTGTCGGTAAAGAACTCGTCGATCAAGTACTTGACCGTATCCGTAAATTAGCCGATATGTGTACCGGTCTTCAAGGTTTCCTTATCTTCCACTCTTTCGGTGGTGGTACCGGATCTGGATTCACTTCTCTTCTTATGGAACGTCTATCAGTCGATTATGGTAAAAAATCGAAATTAGAATTTGCCGTATATCCAGCTCCCCAAATCGCTACGGCCGTAGTCGAACCATATAACTCGATCTTGACTACACATACTACTTTGGAACACTCTGATTGCGCTTTCATGGTCGATAACGAAGCTATCTACGATATCTGTCGTCGTAATTTAGATATCGAGCGTCCTACTTACACAAACTTGAATCGTTTAATCGGACAAATCGTATCATCTATCACCGCATCATTGCGTTTCGACGGTGCCTTGAACGTCGATTTAACAGAATTTCAGACTAACTTGGTACCATACCCACGTATCCATTTCCCGCTTGCTACTTACTCTCCAGTTATCTCAGCCGAGAAAGCTTATCACGAACAACTTACTGTTTCTGAAATTACAAACGCTTGCTTCGAGCCCGCTAACCAGATGGTAAAATGCGATCCTCGTCATGGTAAATACATGGCATGTTGTTTACTATACCGTGGCGATGTTGTACCTAAAGATGTTAACGCGGCTATCGCTACTATCAAGACCAAACGTACTATCCAGTTTGTAGATTGGTGTCCAACCGGTTTCAAAGTCGGTATTAACTATCAGCCACCTACTGTCGTTCCAGGAGGCGATTTAGCTAAAGTACAACGTGCAGTATGTATGTTGAGCAATACTACAGCTATCGCCGAAGCATGGGCTCGTTTAGATCATAAATTCGATTTAATGTACGCCAAACGCGCTTTTGTTCATTGGTATGTCGGCGAAGGTATGGAAGAAGGCGAGTTTTCTGAAGCTCGTGAAGATTTGGCAGCATTGGAAAAGGATTACGAAGAAGTAGGCACTGACTCAGTCGACGATGAAGGCGAAGAAGGAGAAGACGAATACTAAATTATTTCACCCCGAAAATTTAGCAATTTCTCAATGGCCGTTTTATTGCATAGTAGAATTGCATATATCGAAATCTTTGTTAGAAGTTAGACGCAGTATTGATCAGATGTATTATATCTGTATATAGGCGTACGTTGTTATTAATCTAATCTGTCATTGTTAGTGCACCTTGCATAAGCTGACAGTCCTTGTAATTTACTGACTTGTGTGCAATATCGGCCAAACAAATCAATAAAAAAATCTTCATTTAATACAATATCCTGACTCGGAATTCATTGCTTAAAGTAGCACTTGCCTAATGGTGCAGTAGTATACTGAAATAATTTGTTACTATATTGTACAGCATACAATGAATTAATGCGGCAGTAGTAGTAGTAGAATTACTCACCCCATTTACAACTCTAGATCAGTAACAAGGGTGATTGGTAATATTAATAATTAAAAGACCGGATCTCGAATATTAAAGCATTTCTTCAGGAGCTGCAAACTTCTCAAAATACTTATGATTATCTTAGAGAAAGTCTTCGAGTAAGCACAACAATTTAATATGTTGATGAGTTTATTCATCTACGTTTGCTTGATTGTATCAGGTTACTAGCTACGATTTTATAATTGTATATAAAATTTAATTTAATTTAATTTACAATTAGTTTACGAGAAGATATTAATTTAATTTACAGTCAGCTAGTAGTAGGGTGTGCAGTGTACACTAGCCCTGCCGCCTTACATAAAGTTCTTAGAATACTTAGCTGAAACTTTAGTATCTTGAGAACGTTATGTAAGGTGGCGGGGGCTAGTATACGCGTTATTGTAAAACAGGTATTAATACGTACGCGTATATCCCGTACTATAATTATAATCAATGCATTACTGCAAAAGAAATTCCCTTAACTCATAATGCCTTTGCAGTACCTAATCAATGCAGCGTAAAGTCAAGAAGAGCATCCGAAGCTTGTTTACTACTTCCAGTTCCAGTAGTTGTAGGAATAATCATATCATACAGACAATATTAGTTATGTATCGACTCTAATGCCTGTGTTATAAAACTGGCCAGGTAGGACTACCGAATTTTCAGAAATCCGATCAAGTTAGATTCTTCGGGATCTCTGTCTATTTATCATTGTGTTGCATCGTAAGAAAGACTCCTTACTACAATGAAGTTGATAGGTAGGCATGATTTGAACATACTCATATGTCAAATTACGTACTAACTGTAAATAAAAATATAGGCACAAGTCATTTCAATACTACCATGTACTGTACTTAAATAGTAAAATATAAGACAACAATTTATTTTTCTTTGAAATCGTATCCCATGGCATATGCTTATAGTCAGTATCAATATATTCAAATAGTGACATCGCTATTAGCTATATGCGGTAAGATTATACTCGTACATACAGTACTGTATCTTTACATAAACGTAAGATAGTACCGATTACATCAGGTCTTATTTTAGCCATTCTCCATAGTATACATGAATATACACACATATAATGTGGCATATCTATGAGGAGTACTGATATGGCTTACAAAAGTATCAAGCGTAAACGTAAATCGTTGGATATTTTTCCGTTTACATAGCTGTTAACAGTTTTATATTTACATTAGAGGCAGAACTTCTTTCATATACTTTACTAATGGTAATAAACTATCATGGCAAGTTTTAATATCGGCATTCAATATTTTATTGAGTGCAGTACACTGATATGCAATCTATAATAGGTCAAAAATTTTACTGTCGATGCGTGTGGAAAAGTCTGTGTTAGTTTCAACCGTTAAAATATTGTAGGGTATAACACATAACTACTATAATTAGCTGAAATCATTACAAATATTTAAAAATTACAAGCCTTTATCGTCTACACGTCTTTGTAGTAATAGTGATTATTTATAATTTATAGATACTGCGGAGTAGGTCCAGAATTTTATTATCGATGCATGAGGAAAGGTCTGTGTATAGTTTTATCTAAGAGAATATTTAAAGATTACAAGCCTTTATTGTCTACGCAGTAAGAGGTCTTGATCATAATATAGTAAACGCAATTATGTTATTATCAAAAATTTCAATCTCTTATGACTTTAAACCACCTGCTTGCTTTTCTAAATACATTATATCACAGCAGCTTCTGCTTATGTACTTATATAACTTTATTTGACGATTTATTAGTATTTCGTGTCCTTAGTAACTGCTTCACGACTAAAATCTCCTCAATTTAGAAATTTTTTTCGTTGCTGATCTATCCTTAAATCACAAATCGTAATGGTAAATGTTAATCTCTTTTATATCAGTCAATCTGATTAATACTTATTTCTACTTAAGTAAAAAGCAAGTAAATTAAACCTATTAAAAGTGTTTCCAAGCCTTCTGCTGTGTTTATCGAATGCAAATCCCTTACTTTTTCTAGTGTTTAACTCACCCCAACTACTCTACTAGTAAATCTAAAAATGCAATAAAAAATTTTTTACGGATAACTGCCACTGTACTAACTGTAGTCTTCTATTTCTAAATACGTGCATCTAAAGACGGGATTTGATAGTCTACGAATCAGTAAATGATAAATTGTTCATTACGTAATAAATTTTCTAGTATGGAAACTAGAAAATCCCGATTAAATCTTATGTTACTAATTAAAATGCCTTACATTTACTTTCAGCGTGAATGCATCTCTATCCACGTTGGTCAAGCTGGCACTCAAATCGGCAATGCCTGTTGGGAATTGTACTGCTTAGAACATGGTATCCAGCCTGATGGTCAAATGCCATCTGATAAAACTATCGGATATGGCGATGACTCTTTCAACACCTTCTTTAGCGAAACTGGCGCGGGTAAACACGTCCCACGTGCAGTTTTCGTTGATTTAGAACCTACCGTTGTCGGTAAGTAATATATATATATATGGTAAAGCCATTCCTACGAACATTTTCAGACTTATAAAAATATACTTAGGAATGGCCAAACATAAACACTACAGTATCATATATATTTACTAGCAGTAATTATAAAGATGTACAACACCTGATGGATTAATAATAATTACTAGTCTTTCCATTTATCGAGATAGCCACTTAGGATAGCATGTACTTTTTGTATTGCACATACAGTATCACAAACTATAAAAACGGATGTATCTCATCTCATCTTCTAGATGAGGTTCGCACTGGTACGTACAGACAACTCTTCCACCCTGAACAACTTATCAGTGGTAAAGAAGATGCTGCTAATAACTACGCTCGTGGCCATTATACCGTCGGTAAAGAACTCGTCGATCAAGTACTTGACCGTATCCGTAAATTAGCCGATATGTGTACCGGTCTTCAAGGTTTCCTTATCTTCCACTCTTTCGGTGGTGGTACCGGATCTGGATTCACTTCTCTTCTTATGGAACGTCTATCAGTCGATTATGGTAAAAAATCAAAATTAGAATTTGCCATTTATCCAGCTCCCCAAATCGCCACGGCCGTAGTCGAGCCATATAACTCGATCTTGACTACTCACACTACTTTGGAACACTCTGACTGCGCTTTCATGGTCGATAACGAAGCTACTTACGATATCTGTCGTCGTAATTTAGATATCGAGCGTCCTACTTACACAAACTTGAATCGTTTAATCGGACAAATCGTATCGTCTATCACCGCATCATTGCGTTTCGACGGTGCCTTGAACGTCGATTTAACAGAATTTCAGACTAACTTGGTACCATACCCACGTATCCATTTCCCATTGACCACATACTCTCCAGTTATCTCGGCCGAGAAAGCTTATCACGAACAACTTACTGTTTCTGAAATTACAAACGCTTGCTTCGAGCCCGCTAACCAGATGGTAAAATGCGATCCTCGTCATGGTAAATACATGGCATGTTGTTTACTATACCGTGGCGATGTTGTACCTAAAGATGTTAACGCAGCTATTGCTACTATCAAGACCAAACGTACTATCCAGTTTGTAGATTGGTGTCCAACCGGTTTCAAAGTCGGTATTAACTATCAGCCACCTACTGTCGTTCCAGGAGGCGATTTAGCTAAAGTACAACGTGCAGTATGTATGTTGAGTAATACTACAGCTATCGCCGAAGCATGGGCTCGTTTAGATCATAAATTCGATTTAATGTACGCCAAACGCGCTTTTGTTCATTGGTATGTCGGCGAAGGTATGGAAGAAGGCGAGTTTTCTGAAGCTCGTGAAGATTTAGCAGCATTAGAGAAAGATTACGAAGAAGTGGGTGCCGACTCAGTCGACGATGAAGGCGAAGAAGGAGAAGATGAATACTAACTGTTATCATCTTCTTGAATAATTCGACTTAAAGATACTACTTTGGGTAGCATGTAAAATCCTAGCAGTATCGCCTTCATAATGTAATGTTTTACATGTCGGAATACGATATCCTTAAAGTATACTTATATCGATATAATACTAGTATACTGTTTTAATAATGACAATGAATAATTTTTTAATACGTTACTCTTCATTGAAGCATTAAGGCATACTATCGGTCATCTTCAAATACAGTAATTCTATGTAAGATTAAAACACTCTACGGTTTAGAAATCATAGTTCAACTTGGTTAAATTTATCGTGATTTGACTCTAAAGACACTTGAAAATTCCAGTCTTGTAAGTTAAGTATTAATAAATTTGGTATTTATATTAATTCTATATTTACCAATTTATATTAAGCAAAGAATCTGCACGTGCAATTTGTAATTATAAATCACAATCTTTTATTAATCCATATCAAATAAAGATTTTACTGATGTATTATTCCGTAAAAATTAAAGAGTAGGCTATCTGACTTTACTGCTACCCATTCATTATTACGATCTTAATTATTTAAACCCTAAATGAGCTGCGTAATATATTAATTATATTTATCGTGGCTTCATACCCGTATGCTACAGATGACTAGTGCCATATGTCACTACCACTGTAGCTGCTCCAGGTACTAAGCTAAATATTTCTGATAGCTTCTTCGTGTTGGATTTAAGTTAGCGAGCAACTCTAACCTGAAAATACAATACACTTTATCAAACTTTGTTCAAGGTGTAACAAATAACGTAACGTATTCTTCATCTGGAGACGTTGAAACATGTTTCTCATTTATATTCATAGCATTATTATGATCGAGCACTTTTTAATTACCATATTGGAACCTCAAAGTTTCTTCATCACCTCAATCTAAGATATTTAAGTTGTATCGTGTATATATTTTAAGAGTGTCATTGATGCAAGGAGGCATTCAGTTAGAATGATGTAGTTTAGATGGAAAATTGTATAATCAGATTGCTCTATTAAGCTCATTTAAATTACTGGAAATTGCCCCTGTATCTAAGTAATAGATTACGTTTTAAAAATGCTTATTGCAATTGAACTAAGACATTTAACTCTCAGGATAAATAAATTTAGAATTTTAACTATTCCGTTATATCTAACAACATCTTTATATTGAGATCTATATTAACGATTTCGATATTATCTATGAATCTATGATAACACTAATTGAGCTGATTTTCTTGAATTATATAAATTAATGACGATTATATAACGATATCGTATAACACTGGACTTCTAAACCATTTTTAATAACTTACTAAAAGACCAAAGAATTCCACTAAGAAATAATCTACAACTACTATATATGTATACGATCGTATACTGTACTATACTGTACGCAGATTTGAGAGAAAATTTCTATCGAATATTCGATAAATTAAATGTTTGATATCGTAATTATAAATTCGTAATGTGCAATTAGTACTTGCATAGAGAAAGACTATCTGTTTTATATTTTCGGCTGTCATGACTCCGTATTGTTGTAGTTATCAACTTTTCTTAAATGAATAGCTCTCTATAGTATACATTAGGTGGTACAAATTAATACTGTACAATACAGCATAACTAGGCAGAGTAGAACATTACTACGCTATACTATACGCTAAAATATGGCCTCATTTATATTATAAATATAATATAATTTTTAGATAGCAGTGTTAGTAGATTAGTAAGAGGACACAACAAATAACTTTATCGAAGATAAAAACCGATTTATTTCACGCTTTAATAAATATACTGAGAAAATAGATATTTATAAACAGTATATTTGAAAACTCAGAATATTGGCATATGCTGTATATCGCAAGAGATAAATCTCTTACTTTCATTCCTCTAGCTTCGCTCTCTGTTGATAATATAGTTGATTTAGCTAAAGTACTGTACGTAAAATAAACATTTAAGCGATAAATACTGAAAACGCAGTTGTCAACAGTATCCTCTTGCAATATTAGTATAGTATAGCATTAAAAAAATGTAGTTGATGCTACTTACTCTATTATATGCTTAACGCATGTTAGTGACTAATGGAAGGATACTATCGGCTGATTAGATTCTAACGACGTCTAAGATTCATAACACCGTATACATCAAGTTACCTAGCGATCGCATTTAGCGTATTTTAATTCTCCAATATGCATCTGTTTTATGAAGCTATTTTAAAGTATTTTATAATTTAGAATGTACTTAAAATAATTTGTACGATGTGCATATAATTGAGAGAGCATGTACGGTATAGAAGATACAGAATATAGATGAAATAGGAATCATCCATAAATACAGTACATGAATACTATGTTACAAAGATCGCCTAAGCGACTTTCATTCAGTTTATCGAAATATTCATTAGTTATCTGTTCAAAACTATCTTGAAGAATACAATGCCAGATTGCCTATAATAACAGCCATATCAATTAAATTGCTCATATCATTGGTAACAAGTCAAAAAGTAAAAATTTCGTATATTTTGTGAAATCAATCATAGATATTATGCATCTGTACATGCGTATTATGTAATATGATTCAATATAATAAGGAAACCGTTGACATTAGCAGGCAGAATCATGTACTATATAAGACCACTATAATAGGGGCGTGGCGAGCCCTCCAAAATGGTTGAAAGATGTTCAGCTATACACTAGTATTGCTATAAATTATGTCCTTAAATTTTGGCTCAAGTTCCACGCAGACAAGTCAGTACAACCTTGAGCAATTGGCTCTCGATATTTTAATTACTTTTTATCGCAGTATTGAATAATTACATTTCTTTAAAGTTTCTAATACAAATTATCATTCGCTGTTACTTGTACGGTCGCTCTAACCATTTTACAAGTCACTTCGTAATACCGGTCTAAAATTGTACATGAACTAGAAAGTTTCAGATGGACAGACCTTTCGTACCGAATAAGGTCGAAAACGTCGAAAAATAGTGACTTATAGTACGGAACTTGTGTCTGTTTCCTTATTTAATACTTTAATTCAAAAAAAGAAAAATGATTTATGGCTTTATACAACTGCTTTCAAGTAGGAATTAGTCAAATAGAATAGAACTTAATGAAATATAACTAAATTTAGGAAATAACTAAGCCAATTATTGTACTGGCTCTGCTACTGAGACTAAAACGAATCGTTTGGAGCAGTTTTAAGACGACATGATGCTAAATGCATGATCGTCCGAGGACCCGTCCAGTCCAGGCAATCCATACTCCATGGTTACGACATATATAACAAACTTTAGATCCTTACACAGACTTTATGCTAGTAACGTCGTAATTAAAAAAAGCCGATAGATGTCATATGATTCGACTTAATTAAAATGAATACTGTAATGTACGATACATAAAGCTATAGAAGGAATGCAGCGACGAAGAATTGAAAAGTCTAAATGAGTACATAGCAACACTACACGGATGAATCATCACAAAAGGTGAACAATATAGCAGTGTAGACCTAATCGTAACAATGATGCTTTGATGCGACAAACACTAGCCATGTTAATACGTCCTGACCTCACTTTTATTATATTGAAAATTTTTGGGTAGTTACCATTATGTCAGTATGAGTACTCAAAGAAGCGAAGAACAATTAAATTGGTCAGCTGCCATGACAACCCCATATAGATTTAAGCATCAACCACTAGGAAAGCCTTCTTCTATTGATCTATGGTTTAGGTCACGGTGGTTGCTATGATACGGTTTGATATGATAGGATCCTCGTCGCAAAACGCCTGTAAAAAATATAAAAAGAACAGTTTGTTACTACAACTAAACATATCGTTACTTTAGCAATCAGCCGTCGCTCTGCTGTTTACGAATTTTTTAACGTGATTTTCTCCTCTTGATTTTTATTCAACCATCATCTAAAATGGTAAGCCTTGATCGTATTTGTTAGTTTTAACTGTCATTAACATGCTATACAACGCATAAATTCAGTTAGAATTTAGAACGCAATTTACAGTTATAGAGAATATTTTCTATTCCTTGAGAAATCTACCGAAAAATGAAAACGCTACGTTGAAAACTCTTTAAATTTTCTCCAATTTATTAAATCTTTGTAACAACGACTGTTGATAATATTCATTATCTACCTTAATTCGATTACATAAAATAGCTTCAAATACTTCTACATAAGAAATATTCCCCTAGATAATCGATATAGCTTTTAAGAACGTTTAGTGTTGTCAAATATGCATATTTTACTAGCAAATTACTATATCCGAGGCCTACTTTAATACTGAACTATAACGATTTATCGATTTTTAGCGTGAATGTATCTCTATTCATGTTGGTCAAGCCGGTGTTCAGATCGGTAATGCCTGCTGGGAATTGTACTGCTTGGAACATGGTATCCAGCCTGATGGTCAAATGCCATCTGATAAAACTATCGGATATGGCGATGACTCTTTCAACACCTTCTTTAGCGAAACTGGTGCAGGCAAACACGTCCCACGTGCAGTTTTCGTTGATTTAGAACCTACCGTTGTTGGTAAGTAAAATGTACCCGTATTATGTATGTTAGCCGTTCCTAAGGAATGGCCAAACATAAAGATAATAGAGTATCTACTTGTAGTAATCATAAAGATGTACAACACCTGATAGATTAATAATAATTACTAGTCTTTCCGTTTATCGAGATAGCCACTTAGGATAGCAGGTACTTTTTGTATTACATATACAGTATCACAAACTATAATAACGGATGTATCTCATCTCATCTTCTAGATGAGGTTCGCACTGGTACGTACAGACAACTCTTCCACCCTGAACAACTTATCAGTGGTAAAGAAGATGCTGCTAATAACTACGCTCGTGGCCATTACACTGTCGGTAAAGAACTCGTCGATCAAGTACTTGACCGTATCCGTAAATTAGCCGATATGTGTACCGGTCTTCAAGGTTTCCTTATCTTCCACTCTTTCGGTGGTGGTACCGGATCTGGATTCTCTTCTCTTCTTATGGAACGTCTATCAGTCGATTATGGTAAAAAATCAAAATTAGAATTTGCCGTATATCCAGCTCCCCAAATCGCTACGGCCGTAGTCGAACCATATAACTCGATCTTGACTACACATACTACTTTGGAACACTCTGATTGCGCTTTCATGGTCGATAACGAAGCTATCTACGATATCTGTCGTCGTAATTTAGATATCGAGCGTCCTACTTACACAAACTTGAATCGTTTAATCGGACAAATCGTATCATCTATCACCGCATCATTGCGTTTCGACGGTGCCTTGAACGTCGATTTAACAGAATTTCAGACTAACTTGGTACCATACCCACGTATCCATTTCCCGCTTGCTACTTACTCTCCAGTTATCTCGGCCGAGAAAGCTTATCACGAACAACTTACTGTTTCTGAAATTACAAACGCTTGCTTCGA